ATTCTTTGTAGCTTTTTCTCTCCAGCCTCCCATTGCATTGGGACCCCACAACCAGTTAGTGCCCTTTCCCCAACCGTCAGCACAGGCAGCAGGAATCTTGCTGCAGACCTCTCCGGTGCTCCACCACAACCTGTACTGTCAGGGGAAGAATGGCTTCCAGGGAGTCTCTGCAGGTATTGTGCAAGGTCCTCCTGGTTTCCAGCTTCCCAGCGGCTCTCGTGACCCAGGTCAACTAGACCTCTGACTCCTTGGGCTTAGTCTGTATTCTTATGTTCTCAGAGTCCTTGTACCTCTGCTGCACCTCCGCTGACTCTGGACCTTTCTGGTTCTCCACGGCAGAGGCAAGAGTGACCCATATATTCCCAGGGGTTTTTCCATGTTTGAATGATTCACACACTTCCGTGGGTGGGCCTCTGCAGCCGGTGCATGGTGGGCCAATTGTGTCATTGTTTCTCTGTGTCATGGTAGTTCTCAATTGAGTGGTGGTAGCTGGCCTGAGGGCCAGCGTGCGACAGCGCGTGCCGCTGCGCGGCTTGCTAGGCGCTTGGGGCCCTCCTTCCAGGCGCCTGCGAGTCTGGGGGCGGGCCCGAGGGCCAGTGCTCCCCTCCCCGCGGCTTCCCGGGCACTGGGGGCCCTACTTCCGGGCGTCTGCGAGGCAGGGAGCCGGCCGAAGACCAGCACTCCCCGACGCGCGGCTTCCCGGGCACCCAAAAGTAACCAAGTTTTAACCTGCAGTAATATATGTTGTTATTTTTTAGCACATTTCTTTTCCTCCCAAAACCTTTAAGGTCACTAACACAGTAGTGACCACATAGTAAAGTGCCCAAAAACCTCATCTTCCTTTCCCACCCTGTTTCCCAAAACCAGCTTTGATAAGCTTCAATAAGGAAAGTAGAAAGAGACACCAGTGCGAGAGAGACTAAGACGTAAGAGAAGTTTTTAAAATCCACGGTGGATCGTATAAATCTTATTCTTCTTTTAGAAAAAGAAACTTGTTTGTGTTTTGGGGGGGGGGTTTTGTTGTTTTTTGTTTGTTTGTTTTTCTCCTGTACCGGGAATCGAACTCACAACTTTGCGCTTGTCAGACAGGTGCTGTGCCACTGAACTAAATCCCCAGCCCCGAAAATTGTGAATAGAGTAAACATGAGATTTTCATGGGAAATTCTGGTCAGAGTACTTCTAACACCTTGAATTCTAAAATATTTTGTCTAGTAGCTATAGGGAAGACCAGAAGGAATAATATGTCTTTTATTGAACCTTGTTAACAATATATTAAAACAAAATGAGCTCTCATTTAATGTCTAAAATAATGCACTACCCCTGAAGATGTGTACATATACCTAAAGAATAAATTGATATACAGCCAGACTAAGGTGAACTTAGAAAAATAGATCTTCATTGGTACAAATGAAAGATCTCTTACAACTACAGAGAGTTTGTTTCTTCCCTTATTGGTGAAGAATTAGTATTATAAACTAATTCTAAAGTTGAAAATCACTGTTTTTCTCTTATTAGGTGAAGCTGAATTAGCAGAAATTCCAGAAGGCTACATCCCAGAATATTGGGAATATTACAAGGTTTGTATAGGTCATTAAAAATTATTTTTAGAGCTGGGAATTTAGCTCAGTGGCACAGTGCCTGCCTGGCAAGTGTGAGGTTGTGAGTTCAATTCCCTGTACTGGAAAAAAACAAAACAAACAAACAAACAAAAAATTATTTTTATTATGTGTTTTGTCAGTGTTAGTTAACATTTTAATTTGGTAATTATGATATAGTTTTATATGTAATTTTTTTTTTGGTACCAGGAATCGAACTCAGGACCTTGCACTTGCCAAGCAAGGCTCTGTGCTGCTGAGCTATATCCCTGGCCCTATATTCAATTTTTAATGTCAAGTAGTTGATACATTTTTACTAGCAACTACTTTTGGTACTTTTTTTTAAGCTTTGCACTTTTTTAAAGAATGACTTTGCAATGTGTTTTCAACCTAGCAGACTAACAGGATTTATTCTACATTCAAAGTCATGGGAAAGGGATTACCAGTACTCATGCCAGCAGCCTTTTATTGAGTATCTCCTGTGTAGCAAGCACCATGCTGAGTCTTTCGCCAATATTATTTTATCCCATGTAAAAATTACTGTTATTGTCCCCCACATTAGAAATGAGGAAGCTTGGATCTAAAAGGAGTAAGTGACCTGTCCAAGACGTGGAGCTAGTGTGTATTAGAAACCATCAGTTTGACGCTAAAGCCCACACTGGTGTATGGTTGTTACAGCATACCACCAGTGCCACCAAAACCGAAAATTAATCTGTTATCTTCACAAGTATTGTCGTGAGATGACCTTGTATAGCCTATACGTCATTGTATTTTATTATGTGAATGAATTATGTTTTAGAAAAAATGCTTCTTTATTAAATCAAATGGTAAGCCATAAAATGTTTATTTTTTGCTCACTGGTTTAGAAAGAGCTTCATGTCTGGATCAACAAAACCTTGATTTGTCTCCTGAATCTGCCACTTACGATCCGTCAGCATAGGATAATGGGAAGCAGCATAGGTTTTGGAGTCAGACAGACTTGGTTTGAATCCAGATAATGCTACTTAGTTTGTGCAATTTGCTTATCCCTAAAGTGGGAACAAAAATAGTATCTACCTAATGGACTAAAGCTGTTTAAAATATATATAAAGTTGGTGGCATATAGTAAATGTTAATGATTTAGCTCCCTGAGATCGCCATTTTAACAAATAATCAACTAAAAAGCAAAGCATTGTTCAGAAACTAATTTTAGACAAATATTGCCTTATAGCATCCCATATCAAGATGGATTGCTCGTACTTTCTGTGACAGCCCTGAAAAGAATTACGAAAGGACAATGGCAATCCTTCACATCGAATCTGAAAAGGCTGACTTACGGTAGGAAGGAGTGGGGAAGAAAATCATTTTCTTGTGTTGAAAGCACAAGAAAATAATGAATAAAACTTACTTCAGAACCATAAAATTCTTTATGTGAAGAGATGAAGATAGAATTTGCCTTTCGAAAGTGAAGGCTGCATGTGGGTAACTATCAGGAGATAATATACATCAGATTAAAAGGAATGCTTTTGTAAATATTCTGCACTTTCACGTACAAGGCAACAGTGTCACTGCCCTGCCCTACATCCTTCCACCTATTCTTACCCTTAGAAATGACCTCTATTTAACAATTTCTTATATATGTTCCTAGAGAAAATTTTATACGTTAAAGATTATATTTTGTAATTTAAAAATGGTATTAATACTGCACAGAGAGACTCATCTTATAAACACTGTTTTGCACCTTGTCTGTATTTCAGGTAATGTTGTTTGGTGATCCTTCTGTAGTAACCTAGATCCCGTGCTTTTTAACAGCTGCATTATGTATTCATTGGATAGATGTGCCTCAGCTTTGTCAGCTAGTACCCTAGTATTAGTGCTTAGATTCTTTCCACATTTTTTAGTATTGTACATAATGCTGTGGTAGGTCTTCTTATACATATATTTTTGCTGTGTATATATCTGTAGAGAATAAATTCCTAGCCAAATGATGTATGCTGTTAAACGTTAGGATACTGCCTTACTCTTTTGGAAAGGTATACCACTTATTTTTTCCATCACTAGTGAGTGATAAATTTCTGATTCTCTGAAGTGGAGTATATCAAACTTAAACATTTTTGCTGATATGATAGTTAGAAAATACTATCTCATTATTTTGATGTTGTATTTCTTTGTAAGGTTTAATATTTTGTCATAGACCAATTAGTTCTGTCACATACCTATCAGTCTGTTTCTCTAAATTGTCCGGTTTTCTACTTGTACATTAAGTTGGCTTTTTAAAGTTTTGTTGCCAGTGTTTTTCTGGCTTGTCAGTTTTTTGGCAATGAAGAATTTTAGCAAAGTAGAATTTTTTTATGCTTTAGATAACAAATGTGTAATTGCTAATATGTGTTTGAATACTTGCTGTGTATCAGTGTTTTACCATCTATGTATTTACTCTTACTTATTTAATTACTGTTAAGTTTGTCAGTCTTTTTCTCTGGCTTTGGGGATTTTGTATCATGCAGAGATCCCTGATAGTAATTAAATAAGTAATTACTGTACAGAATTCTGAAATTATTTTTTATTCTCTTGGGCACTAGAAATATAGCTCAGTGGTAAAGCACATGCTTAACATGCATGAGCTCCTCCAAACCCCAGTGCCACCAAAAATAAATTTTGTTTTCTTTTACTACTTTTAAATGTGATGCAATGTAATATATATTTTTAAGGGTGGGATATTATGACAAGCAGTCAAATGTACCCATTAAGTGATATTTGCCACTAAGTGGTATCCCATTGAGTGGATATTTGCCAAAGTGTGTACCTATATAACTACCACCACCGTAAGGGTCATTTTGATCACCCTGCAGTGTTCTCTTGTGCCTTTTTCCATCCATCTCATTCAATCTCTGTCCTCTGTGCTTGATTCCAGGCTACCATTGAGCTGGGTTTTTTTGTTTTGTTTTTTGTTTTGGTCTTTTTTGAGACAGGGCCTCGCTATGCAGTTCAGGCTGGCCTTGAGCTCACTTTGTAGCCCAGACTGGCCTTGAATTTGCAATGATCCTGCTATGAGCTGCTTTTCTGTTTATTCTGCTTTAAACTTGGTGCTGTAAACAGTAGTTTATAAACACTGGTATAATAGTGAAAGATATTTAAATGACAAAAAGAACGTATGATTGGCTGTGGTTACATTCATATATGGCTGCCATGTAGAACTGTTACGTATTTAAGGGCATAGAACAGCAACAACATTTTAAGTTCCAATTTAGTAATGGGACCTAGAATTCCTCAGACATAGAGATTCTAAATAGTTATAAAACAAAACAAACGAGCTAAAACCACAGCTTTCACCCCTACAGGAAAGATGCCTTACTCTTTTGGAAAGGTGTACCACTTATTTTTTCCATCACTAGTAAGTGATAAATTCCTGATTCTCTGTAATGGAGTATATCAAACTTAAACATTTTTGCTGATATGATAGTTAGAAAATACTATCTCATTATTTTGATGTATTTGATATGAGCATGCAACGAAGAATGTCTGTAGTTTTTTAAAAATATGCATTTAGACATTCAGAAAACTGAGACATTAAAGAAATATGTAGTGTCTCCCGTAGTTGACTTCCTCTGAAAGAGAACTTTTAGTTGTTCATATTTTTAATTTTTTTTTCACCAGTGCTGGGGATTTAACCAAAGGCCTTTACACTGAGCTGTATCCCCAGTCCTTTTTTAATTTTGAGACAGGGTCCCACTAAGTTACCCTGACTAGGCTCAAACTTGTAGTCCTCCTGCCTCAGCCTCCTAAAGTGCTGGGATTACAGGCATGTAGCACTGTAAAGTGCTGGCTATATACTTTGCTTTATAACCTAACTATATTTATCATCTCCTTCCATATTACTACAAAGAGATTCTCCTTAATTCCTTTTAATAATATATAATGTGGGTGAACCATAGTTTACTCACCTGGTTAGTCCCCTGATAGTGAATATTTTAATTACTTGAATTTTGGACAGTTACATTCTGAAGACTAGAAAAGAACAATGATATTTAATCATTAAAAAGATAAGCATAAGTCTCTTAAATGCACAAATACAAAGCCATATAATCTTTCATAGATAGGCTTATGTTAAATGTTAAAGTAAATTTTTGTTTTGTTTTTGAGACAGTCTCACTATTTAAGTAGTTGAGGCTGGTCTTGAGCTCACAGCAATCCTCCTGCCTCAGCCTCCAGAGTGCTGGGATTACAGGGTGCACCACCACATCTGGCTTTAAAGTAAATTGTTTATATGTGATAACTTATCAGTCTTAGGAAATATATGTGTTCTCCAAAAAGGAACATCAAAGGGTAGATGCAGAAGGGACTACTTCTCCAGGAATGTATGGTAGTTTATGCAGTCTTGGGATGTGGAGAGGAAGGACATCTTTATAGACTAGAAGTCACCTAATCTGTGAAGAAAGAGGAGGACAGCTTGTTAGAGTTGGAGAATATTTCTCTTACTTCTGATTCGTCTCTTTCCCCTTTTTCTTTATAAATACTGTATTGACTAAGTGCCTGCTGTTGACCAGGGACATTGTGATGCTGGTGAGTAAGATACCATTTCCGTTAGAGAAGTTTTCTGTCCCGGTGGTGATGGGCAGCCAATATGGACAGGGCTCTTCTAAGAAGGATGATCATTTTCCTAGCACTTCCCCAAGAAATGGCCATCACAGTAGGCATTCTATAAATGCCTCTAGCATCTAAAACATGAAAAGACAGGAAAATCATTGTCATAATTCAGTGAAAAGAATCTGTCCAGACAGAGCAGGGACAGTGTGACAATTATCATCTCAAGTGATTTAGTGACAAAAGCTCATGTGTAACTTAAGCAAGGTAATAAAAGTTAAAAGTAAGTTCCAAATTTTGCTTACTGATACGTAGTACCCATGTGCCCACACGCAGGTCTGCGTACATAAAAGCAAAGATTCTCTGGTGGTTATTCTTTACGGAGATGATTCATTCCATTTGAAATTGGAAACACTGGGATCACGGTATTGTTACTGCATTTGTCACAGGTTAAAGGAGCTGGAAGTTCGGAGACTAATGCGTGAGAGAGGCGACGGGCCCTGGTATCAGTACCCGACCGGTGACAAGACGCTTATCGATCACTCTCCAAAGTCAACTCCCGACAACTAGTCATTTATTTCTTCAGATACACAGTCTGTTCTCTTAAGTGGAAATGAGTTGATAAATATAGTCTGTACTTTTGCTCTGTGGTAAATAAAAAGAGCTTACATTGCTTTGTTTCTCAGTGTTGGTTCAGACGAAGGTTTTTGATTTTGTGGTTTTGATTTCATTTTGTTAAAAGGTTTAAAATGCAATACTAAAAACTGGAGGAATTGGAATTTGGGAATTCCTGAAGTTTTGTTGGTATTGACAGGGTTAGTGTTGTATTTGGCAAATGGATGTTAAAGAAGAGATGTTCTAAGCACTCACCTTTCAATGCCTAGTGTTCCAATTTTGGAACGCCCATCACAGAAGGAACATAATACAAATTTTGCTCTTCAAACTCTTGTTCCTTGAGTTTTTCCAGGCAACATGAATTTCATGCAAAAATTTTTAAAAATGTAATCTTGAGCATAAATGGGTTAAGTATTGGGAAAAATAGTTGTTTGTACTGTCTGTACTGCAGCTACTGGGTTATTTAGGGGCTACTCAGGATTTTAATTTACATAAATATTGAGCCACTCGTATGAAATGTTAGGATCTTAAATTTTCAAGGAACAAATCTTCAAGTTTATAATGTTGCCATGCTTTTTTTTTCTAGCCTTATATCATTAAAACTGTACAAACACTTACACATATATTTTTCTTAGATTCAGTCTCTAAGGTTCCTTAAAGGTTTTGGTTTTGGTAAATACTGGAGAAGTAGCTGCACCAAGTAAAATGATTACTGCAAAGATTATGAAATCTGAGCAAAAGCTAAAAAGAACAACTGCCACTAAAGTTTATTATCTGCTGAGCACTGTGCTCCATAACAACTGCCTTTTATTCACCGTTTCAGAATCACCTTATGAGGTCCCATTAGTCTTTTTACAGATGAACAAACACTGAAGTACTTTATACATGTACTTAATATTTACAAGAAATAAATATTTGGTGGTTTTGCTTCAAGCATTATTTTTCAACCTGTAATAATCTATCAGTGAATCTACATTTGAGAAGTATGTTCCTAACATTCTTCATGAAAATAAGAAGGAACTCAAGTCTCCTAAGATTAGAGCCAGTGAATCTCCATATATATTCTCAAGGATAAATTCTTTTGCTATGTAAACAAAGTAAATGAAAAAGCACTGGCCACTGGTTCAGGACATCTTGATTGATGGCCTTCAGCATGCACCCGACTGGACAGGCAATGTCCTGTGGGGCACTGGCGGTTTATTTCCCCAGAAGAGGGCTGCCGTGTCCCGCTGTTCCCTGGTTTTATTCAGCGCGTTCTCGAAGCAGATACCACCTTGGGATTCTGCCCACGGCTGGGAGAAGTACGTGCCCTGCTTGGGAAAACCAGTTTTGTAGGATAGGGATAGGAAAAACTGAAAGAGGCCTTGTACATGGTGATAGGAAGGGGATGCCAGATCTAGAGACATAATGTTCATTATTTGAGAATTTACAGGTTATTGACAGTTGAAGGTTTTACTTGATTTTTTCTTTCTATTATAGATGTAAGAAGAACTTAGCATAGAGAGTATACAGTGTTAATGAACTAATAGTGCCATTTATTAAGTCCAACTTGTAGCAAATGTGGACTAAGCACTTTGTGTATTTCTTACGGTGATGCTGTAGTGAAAGTACTACTGTCCTTCAGTGAAAAAAAGCGAGGATTTGAAAGATTAAAACAAGTGGCTTAAAGATACATCTAATAAAAATACCGTATGTGTGTGTGTTAGTGCTTAGTATTAAACTCAGGGCTTTGTATGTGCTAGGCAGATGCCCTGCAAATGAACTACATCACCAGCCCCAAGCCAGATTTAAAGGAATTTAAAATAAATAAAGGATGCACTGGGGGCTGCTGATGTAGCTCAATGGCAGAATACATGCTTAGCTTGCTGGAGGCCCTGGCTTCACCACCCCACCACCCGCCCCCTTGCTCCCCGCAGCACAACAGTCCTCCAAAGGCGGTAAATTTCATTTGCTACATTTGTCTTCCTAAACTCCCAATGTCCTCCTCTTTTCCCTTGGTTGTACATAATTTCTTTAACAATTACTTTTTGTTTTTGGAGACAGGATCTACCTACACTGTTCAGGTAGGATCTGCATAGATCATAGGATCTACCTATGCGGGTCTTGAACTTGCCCTGTACCCTAGGTTGGCCTCAAACTCACTGTGATCCTCCTGCCTCGGCCTCCTGAGTGCTGAGATTTCAGATACACACCACCACACCTGGCACAACAAATTATGTTTTTTGACATTTATTTTGCTTTTAATTCATAGATAAGCCAGATGTGGTGCATGCCTGTAATCCCAGGGAGGGGAAGCTCTGGCAGCCAGAGGAAGGAGAATTACAAGTTCAAGCCTAGACTGGGCAATTCAGTGAGACCCTGCCTCAAAAATATAAAAGGGCTAGGCTGGGGACATAGCTCAGTGGGAAAGCCCTTGGGTTCAGTCTCCAGAAGCACATGCACGCACACACACCAATCATAGCTAAATCCTGGCATGGGTTCTTAGTGGGTTTCTTATAATAGAAGAAAAACATTTGCTTGAAGAGGATGTCTAGACTTTTTATACTATTTCAAAGTTGCCTTCCTGGAAGGTTATACCAATTCACACTCCCTTTGGCAGCATATGAGGACATCAGTTTTCTGAAGTCCTAAAGATTTAGAGCTTCTAAGTCTTGTCAGCCTGATGGTTAGGATTTTGTGACGGTCTTTTTCGACACTCCCCAAGGTTTTGTAAACAGCGTCATTCCGAAGATAGTATTTTCCACTCATCACAGCCCTCCTTTGCTGAGCCTTCTGGATCTTGGCAGTTTAACTTTTCATGAGATGGCTTGATGCACTCCTTGAATCTCAATGAGAAAATGATAGTGCCAACGAAACAAATGCCTACAGCTAGCAGCTTTTTGCTCTCTGCAGGTACTTTAAGGCTTGTCTGATTTCTTTAACATGATCATGGATATTTTACATTCCGTGCTTGGGAATTCAGGTATCTGAGGTCTTGCAGATGTGTTTTTGTGTGTTGGTTGCTTCTCCTGTTGTCACTTGTGGTGCCCTGTTTTCTTGCATGCTTTGTTCTATAGTGAGCTTTTCATTTGCCTTGCATGTGCCTCTGCTTCAGCCCAGTGCTGGAGCATTTTAATAGGAAGTCAGTCTCCACAGTCAGGTTCCGCTTGGACCTGCTGATGAGTATTGACGCACCACTTAGGTTAAAAGATCCATGAACGGACACAGGCAGCATCGTGAATTCCAGAGAGCAAGCAAGAAGGTCACGCATTGTGGTGTTGGAGAAGTTGCCGTTGTCAAACACCTGCTGCATAACCTGCAGGAGAACATGGGGATGCTCCGTGCGTGCAGCAGCATGGCTTTGCTCTATTCCATTCTCCTGCAGTGTAATAGGAACCACTTCTGTCAGGCTTCCAGATTTCTCTAGATGAAGCTGAAAGGAGGACGTTTTCCCAGGGCCGATCCCATGTTCAGAGCTGACTGACAAGAAGTATGTCTCTGATGTCAGTGAGTCCTTCTTGGAAAACACGAAGTCCACTTAACTCCAGCTGTGAGGCCTTAGTTTGTCCAAAGCCAGACTGTCCCCTGCCCTTCCATGGCTCTGTCTATGGTATTCTTCTTCATCAAGATCAGTGCTTTCCCTGTGTACTAGAGGAAACTGGATCTCCGCTTGCTTGGAGACCACATTTCTGCTTCCATGATAAAATACATTGGAAAATTTTCTAAAAGTTGGATGGTTTTTAAGGGGGAAATCGACTTCCGGGCTCCTCTTCTGCTTCTATCCATCCTGTTGGAATCCCAGCATTGCCCCGTGAGCTCTAAGGATGTGTACATGCTCACAAAAGTGCCTGGGGGCAGAAAGCGGATTTGTAAGAATTTCCCATCTTAGATCTTGTATTCCTGGAGCCACATCAGTATTATAACGACAGAGAAATGGGTGAATTAACGCCACCTTTAGGACAAGGGAACTCTAGACCCAACAGGAAGGGATGAAAAGCAAAGGAAGTGCCTCAGATTCCTGCAAGGAGAAGAGAAAGGAGAGAAAAAGATGAAGAAGAGAAAGAAGGAGGTGTCAGATATTAATATCCTTTTATTTCTGTCCACATGAGGTCAAGTGTGTGACGGGGGCGAGAGAGGAAGAAGAGGGAGAAAGGCAAGAGGGGTTGGGGGAGGAAAGGAATAGGAGGGTGGGGGCAAGAGGTGGGCGTGCTGCAGTAGAAATACTGACAGGTGTTATAGATACTGCAAGCAAGGGGGCTGGGGATTTAGCTCAGCGGCAAAAGCGCCTGCCTGGCAAGCGCAAGGTCGTGAGTTCGGTTCCCGGTACCGGAGAAAAACCAAAAAAAAACAAACAAACAAAAAAAAAAAGATACTGCAAGCAAGGACTGGCAGGAGTAGCTCCCCCACCCCAAGTAAGAAAGGAAATTTCCAAGAAATAACAACAAAAATCTTAAAAGGGCACACTATGTTCTAGGAAATGGGGGAATGAAAGGCACTAAGACATAGCCTCTTTGAATGACTATATTTTAGGGGTAGGGGAGATTTCCAGGCAGCAAAAGCAAATGACTTATATAAAAGAACACATTCAAGCTGACTTCGAGTATTTCGTCCTCTCATTTTTATGAGATGATTTCTTTTTATCCATTCACTCACTTTTCTATCTATAGATATACAAAGATATTTGGAATGACATTCGTCTGGCGTTGACAATGGTAATTCTGTTATGGATTTTGGACAACTCGTATACCTCTGTCCATTCTCGGGGTTGTGTTGTTTCTGTTGTTAGGACCACTACAGTGGAAAATTTTAAGAACCATTTCTGTTGGCGTGAACTAGTTTCCGTTCACAGAAATGTTTTCGTCCATATTCTTCAAATGTAGGAAAGGAGTGAGGTAGCCCAAAAATACTTTTTAAAAGTACTGCTTTTGGTCAGGACAGTCACAGAAAAAGAAATAAAGTTTAGTAGGAAACTTGACTGCCTGTAGCAGGATTGTACATATCGGTACCTTTCAGTAGCTCTCCAGTCTTTGTGGTGGTAATAATCTCAGCCCCTCAGTGGCTTACAGTCACAAGCAATTAATTTTTGGTCGGAAAGGCTGAGTTCAGTTTGCA